AAAGATCTCCTTAAGTGCAACACTCGCGAGGAAGGTCTTGAGCTTCTGGGTAGTTCTCACTTTCTTTTATTCTGCCCGGGATGTTTTCTTTTCTTCGTGCTTACGTGTTTGTTATTTTTGCAGGTAAGATGCCTTCAGCGCAGGAAAGGATGATGAAACACGCCCAAGGGAAGATGAAGAGTGACGCTTCCCTGGGGAAGAGTCGTCTCGGTCAGCGAACGGTCCCCCCTCAGACAGAGTCGGGGACATTGTCCTCAACTCCTCCGTCCACCCAGATGTCGCCTATTCCCGTGAGCTTGTGGCCTAAGTGTGCCCATCCAAATGAGGTCGTGGACCTTAGCCGGGAGTCCACCAAAAGCAAGTACGAGTTGCCTCCCTGCTTTCACAACAAGAAATTCTTAGAGGGGTCCTCTTTGTCCATTCCTCGGGCGGAATCCCTAAAGCTCGAGGAAATGGACTGTCCCAGTAAACAAGCCATTCTTGCCCATGATTCCTCTGCTTTAATGAGGGTCCTGGAAATGGTCGTGGTGTATATTGAAGAGGGCTCTCCGCTAGAGCTAAAGCTGAAGAAATCCCAGGATGCGATGACGTTTCTAGAAGAGAGGGTCAAGAAACTCCAGAAGGAGAGGGAGAAGGAGCTTGAGGATGCTGCCTGTAAAGGCCGCGAGAATGTGACTCTGGAGAGGGACGTTGTGGCCGTTAAGCTGAAGGTTACCGAGGATTTGGTGGAGAAGCAACAGACTACGACTGCCTCTGCTGAGGACGAGCCTGAAGAGATGAAGCAACTAAGATTCACTCAGAACTGGTTGCTCGGTTTGTCCAGGCTGTTGACGACCTAGTGGCCCTTGACGAGGAGGCCTTCTAGAACGCAGTGGACTAGATAAAAGTGGCGAACCCAGGGGTCGAGCTGACTACGAAGGGCACAGGGTTCCTCTACACGGTCAAAGACGACCAAATAGTCGTTCTAGAATTCCTCCGATTTACCGAGGGTGGGGATGACCAGGGGCAAACGTCGCACGAGGAAGTCTAATAAGAGGAGTAGTCTTACCCTTTTGGCCTGCGTGCCATTTGATTATGTGTATTTTTTATTGTAATTTTATTATGTGGGGCTCAGTCCTTTTTTCATTGTATCATGCACAATTGCGGTCCTTTGTGGCCGTGTTAAATTATATGCCCAAATACGTAGTACGTTTTTATGTTTGTATGTTGCTAAATATTCTCTAAGTGTCATGCGCTGTCCAATGCGGTCGTCAGAGGCACTTAATTATTCGTTATGTTCCGGTATGCTCGATGTATTATTCGTCGAGTTCTTCCCTTAGGGCCTTACTATTTGTTTCTTCGTCCAAAGGTGCCTTGGTCCGTCTAGTCGGTACATGGATTTCAATGGGGATCACCGCCTCTGTCCCGTATGCTAGGCAAAAGGGGGATTCCCTGGTTGACGAATGAGGTGTAGTGCGATAGGCCCAGAACACACCGTGTAGCTCTTCGACCCACTGCCTATTTGTTTCGTCTAGCCTTCATTTGAGACCCCGTAGGATTACTCTGTTTGTCGCTTCGGCTTGTCCGTTAGTCTGAGGGTGCTCGACGAATGCAAAATGTTGTTTAATGCCTAGTTAAGCGACGAACTCCTAGAACCTTTTGTCCGTGAACTGTGTCCCATTGTTTGTAATGATCGCTTGAGGAACACCAAAAAGGGCAAGGATGTTTCTCTTGTAGAAATGAAGTATGTTATGGGTTGTTATCTTGGCCAAGACTTCAGCTTCTATTCACTTGGTGAAGTAATCCACACTCACTATTAGGTACTTATTTTGGTTGGAGCCTACGACGAAGGGTCCCAGGATGTCCAGGCCCTACCAGGCAAAGGGCCATGGGGAGGACATCGCCTTGAGCTCGTTGGGTGGTGCCAGGAGCATGTCTCCGTGCTGTTGGCATTTGTCGCATTTCTTCACATGTTCTTTTGCGTCGTTTTGCATGGTCGGCCAGTAGTAACCTGCTCGTAAAGCTTTCCTCGCGAGGGACCTCTCACCTAGGTGCTAGGAGTTGATCCCTTCGTGGATCTCACGTAGAACGTGGGAAACCATCTCCTCATCGACGCACTTGAGGAGAGGTATGGAAAATCCTCGTCTGTACATTTTGTTCTCGACCAGAACGTAAGAGCATGACCTCCGCCTTACTACGTTGGTCTCCTTTGGATCATATGGTAGCTCATTTCTAATGAGGTAGTTGTATGCTGGGGTCATCCAGCAATAGTCGTCGCCGACGACGTGCACGTCGAGTGCCAGGGACGTTCTCTCGATGCTGGGTCGTGGGACAAGTTATCGTTCTTTGCCATCTTTTCCTTGACTAAGGGCAGGTAGTCGGACAAGTTATCGTTCTTGACCTGATATTCTCCCCGGACTTGGAGGGCCACTAACTGAGAATCGGTGCAGATGACGACTTTTTAAAAATTGAAGAAATTACAATAGTGACAAAAGAAAAAGAATAAAAAAAGTATATAGAGTTGAATCAAGATCATATATTTTTTAAGATAATAATATTTGAAAAACAAAATAAAATGAAATATAAACCGTTGGATCAAAATAAAATATTAAAAAATTATGTTAAAAATAATTTTAATTGTTAAAGAAATATAGACCGTTCGATCAAATTCAGACAATAAATATAGACCGTTAGATCAAAATAATATATTAAAAAATGAAAACCGTTGGATAAAATTCAAACGATAAACCCTCAAAGTTGTAAGAAATTACAATAGAAACAACATTGAAATTCAAGAATCAAATGGCAATATAGGAACAAAACAAAAAACCTCTAACTACCTACTATTCAGAAGGTGTTTTTTCAACTCTCACAAACACACTCGCATATTTTTCTTTCTCCTTCCTTTCGTTCTTCGATTCTTCTTTCATCAATTCCAAACCCTACCAGGTTTCTTCAAACCCCTTTCTCTTTCCATTTTTTTTTAATCTTTAACTCGTTTCATTTTTCACCGTTACCGAATTTTAGGGTTTTAATCATTTCCCCTAAATTTTCATATCTTCAAATTTATTGAACTTTCCCCTTTGATTCGTGGATGATTCAGTGTTTTACTTAGTTGTTATGGTAGTTCTTTAATATCTTTGAAGTCTTCTAAGTGTTAGTTAGAATGTTATCTTATCTGTTGACCGTTTCTGGATTTGTGAAATGATTAGGGTTTTGCATGTAAATTCGTTTTTTTTCTTTCAGGTTTTGGAAGTTGAACATTGCTTGTTTGGTGTTGTGGTGGGACTGTATGAAGAATGGTGTCATTGGAATAGTAAGTTTGTTCACTATTTATGTTGAGATGGTTTTTTGAACTTGGTTTTATTTTTTTTCTTGGTCTGTGATAGGATAGGTATAGCTTTTTATCTGTTAAGACTTGTTGAGCTGTTTTTTTTTTTTTAAATGTTGTAGATTATATTCACTAGATCTAGAAATTTTTAAGCTGGAGGCAATGCTCATATATATCCTAGTTGGGTTGAAATACTCGTATATGTATATATACCACGCACGTCCGCACGGGGCATATCGGTTGAGAGGAGTGGGTTAGTGTGAGAGGATATAATACTAGCCGTTTGATCATAATAAACGATCAACATTTATTTTCTCGATTAAAAAGGCATGTGTTCAATGCTTTTACAACTATATATGAGAGGAATGAGATCAACATTTAATTCCCTCGATTAAAAAGGCAGGTGTTCACTGTTTTTATATGCATATATGAGAGGGGTGAGATCAACATTTAATTCTTCAATTAAAAAAACACGTGTTCACTGTTCACACACACACACACACGTATGTCTCTTGTTGAACGGCTATGTCTGCTTGTTATTATTTTTTTTGCTCATTTCTCTCCCTCTCACAAGCACATGTTATTTCCTTTTTTTATGTCTGATTCGGTGTATTAAGATTCAAGTTTTATGCCTGCCGGGTCATATGCGGCACCCCTACCTAATTGCTTCTTGTTTTTGTAAGTAAAAAATGAACTATTCTTGGTTATTAAATTTAAATTGGCTATTTTTTAACTTGTTTATAATTACTCTGGTAGAGAAATGTAGATGTTTCAATTTTGAATTTTGATAAAGCAGAGAGACTTTAGAAGGCACTCCTGGTTTAGATTTGCAGTAAGTCCGATTCTGATTTGAATCGAACGCAGGGATGACAGTGTTAGACTAGACATAGCAATCATGCTCAAGAGAGGGGGGAAAAGAGATCACACGCAGTGTGGCAGCATGAATCTTTTTTTTTTTCCATTCATTTAATTTTTTTAGTTGAAAAGTTTAGCCATAGAAGTGGGTATGTTGTAAGCCCAACTGAAAGCTTACACCTGCAGTTCGTCTATCAAGGGGGATTATTGGCAGTAAGAAATTGTGAGTCAAACTAAAATCTATTGAGCAAAGTGTTTTGATTATTTTCAGATTAACAACCCCCTGGTGGTGGATATAATCATTTTCACCCATAGCTTTATTGATGTTAGATGTGATCATTCTTGCCCTTACATTTGTATTGATTTTGTGCACTTCTTTTCGCCTGGGGTTGATTGGCCCCAAAACAAACAAGAAATGTAGTTCAGTTAAAAGAGGAAGAAAATATCTTATTTTAGTAATTCTTCTTTTCTGTAAATATTCTTCTGGTTTTGTGTCTGATTAATTCATATCCCACCTCTTATAAAATATGAAAAACATCTTACTGCAAATCTTTTTTTTTTTGGGGTGAAAATCTTACTGCCTATCTAGTTCTACTTGTGGTGGTCGGCAAAATACTGATTCATAAATTTTATGTTTAGAAATCTTTTTGCAATATCAACAATTCCTTCCTTTTCTGAAGAGTTTTTGGTTGATGTGGAATATAATATTTGTAAGTTGTACATAAACTGCAGGGTCATTCTGAATGTGCGGGCTGTAGTTTTTGGAGGGGATTTATGCTTTGTTGGGTATAGAACTTGCTGTCATCACTAGTCAGGTTTTGAAATTTGGACTTTGATGGACTGCAATAAAGAAGAGGCCTTAAGGGCCAAGGATATTGCTGAAAAGAAAATGGAAAGCAAAGATTTCCTAGGGGCTCGTACATTTATCAATAAGGCTCAGAAACTATATCCCGATCTGGAGAATATCGCTCAAATGCTTGTTGTTTGTGATGTGCATTGCTCTGCTGAGCAAAAATTACAGGGTACTACAAATGTGGTGGACTGGTATAAAGTTTTACAAATTGATCGCAATGATAATGATGCAATAATTAAGAAGCAGTATAAGAAGTTTGCTCTTCAACTCCATCCTGACAAAAACAAGTTTGCTGGTGCAGAATCTGCATTTAAGCTGATTGGAGAAGCTCAAAGAGTTCTTTTGGATAGAGAAAAACGAACATTACTTAACATGACTTTGAGCAAGTTTTCAATGAGCAGAACTGCCATGCCATCGCATCAACGGAGTGTTCCAGTGAATTTTAATCCTGTTATGCAAACTAATTTCCGGCCCATTTTCAAAAACATAAATCCTCAGCAGCCACCACCGCCGCAGCCGCAGCAGTCTAAGCAGCCAACTCAGCAGGGGCTTAATGGCGGTGTCCAGACTACTTTTTGGACTATGTGCTCATTTTGTTCAGTGAAGTTTGAGTATTACAGGGTAGTTTTAAATAGATCTCTTCGCTGTCAAAATTGTAGTAAGCCCTTCGTTGCATATGAGGTGGATGCGCAGGGTACCAAACCGGCAACTAAGGTGGATGTGCAGGGTACCAAACCGGCAACTAAGGTGGATCTGCAGGGTACCAAACCGGCAACTAATTCAAGTCGTAAAGCTTCTAGTCATCAGAACAGTACTCCGCATCCTGGTACTTTTAAGGTTGATGTTGAATCTCAAGGTGGTTTGCACGCTCAGAGGTCCAACAAGGAACCTCATAATAAGAAAGGCTCTACTTCAAATGTCTCTGTAAAGCCAAATGGAAAGAGAAAGAGAAAGCATGTAGTACATTCCAGTGAAAGTTCTGAGTCTATAGGCAGCACTGATTCTGAATCTGAAGATGATTCATTTTTTAGCAATGGTTTTCCTGGTGTTTCGACTTCAAGAGAAGAGCGTCCACGTAGATCTACACGGCAAAAGCACCAGGTTTCCTACAACGAGAATGTAAGTGACGATGAAGGTGAGTGGGAACCTTCAAAACAGGGTAATGAAAGTGCTTCACCTTGTAGTGATCGTGAAAATAATGAGGAAACTGAAACAAATGATCAGAATGGTTTGGCTGCTGGTCTGAAAGATGATTTGAAAGGGGTAAAGCAGCAAAAGCAAAAAAATAATTCTGAAGAGAGCTTAAAAAATATAGATGTGAAAATTAGGGAGGTGGGAGGAAAAGAAACAGCGGGCAGCTCAAAGATAGATGAAGTTTCAGAGCATTCAGACTCCAAATCATCAAATCACTCGGATGGTTTTGTTTATCCTGATCCAGAGTTTAGTGACTTTGACAAAGACAAGAAAGAGGGATGTTTCACTCCCGGGCAGATTTGGGCTGTTTATGATGATATAGATGGCATGCCTAGATTCTATGCTCTAATCAAAAAAGTTTCTTCTCCTGGATTCAAGATGCAGATAACTTGGCTTGAGGCAGATCCTGATGACGAAGATGAACAAAAGTGGATTGAGGAGAACCTGCCAAGTGCCTGTGGGAAATATAAACTTGGTAAGACTGTAACTATTAAAGATCAACCGATGTTCTCTCATCTGACTTTATGGGAAAGGATTAGCCGCGATACTTTTAAAGTGCATCCTAGAAAAGGAGAAACTTGGGCTCTTTTTAAGAATTGGGATATTAAATGGTATATGGATGCTGAATCTCATCAGAAGTATGATTTGGAATATGTTGAGATCTTGTCGGATTATGTTGAAGGCGCGGGAGTAATTGTTGCATACTTGGCTAAGTTGAAAGGTTATGTGAGCCTCTTCTCTCGAATTACGAATGGAGGTAACCAACCATTTCAAATATCACCAGCTGAGTTGTTCAGATTCTCTCATAGGATTCCATCTTTTAAAATGACTGGTCAGGAAAGAGCAGGCGTTCCTGAAGGATCTTATGAACTCGATCCTATATCCTTGCCGATAGAAGAGATTGGCGCTCCTGATGATTTAGAAGCGAATGTTGCATCTTCTGCCAAGGTGAATTTGGAAAGAAGCAATTCAGCAGAGGAGAAGAAGGATCCTGTTAATCATATTGATGATGTTGGTGCTCCATCAGCTTCGGTCCAAGATTCTTTTGAAGTTCCAGACCCTTCGTTCTACCAATTTGATGGTGAGAGGTCCCATGAAAAGTTTGAGGCTGGCCAGATTTGGGCATTTTACAGCGACGAGGACGAACTTCCAAAATACTACGGCCAGATTAAAGGGGTTAGGAGGATTGGCCCAAAAATTGAGTTGGAAGTATTTTATCTTACTGACTGCCGGCTACCTAAGAAAGTTATTAGATGGGATGATAAAGATATGATCATTTCCTGTGGAAGATTTAAAATCAAGCCAAGTGCCAAGCTATGCACTTACAACAACACCAATTCTGTTTCACATCTGGTTCATGCTAGTTCTGTTGGAAATAACAAAGAATATGAAATTTTTCCAAGGAAGGGTGAAATTTGGGCACTCTATAGGGACTGGACAACTAAAATCAAACGTTCTGATTTGAAAAACTGGGAGTACGACATAGTGGAAGTTATTGAAGACGGTGATACGTGGACAGATGTTTTGTTTTTGGAGAAGGTTAGTGGTTACAGTTCAGTTTTTAAGGGCAAGTTAAATGGTGGTGGATCAACGAAGACCATGACGATCTCAATGAATGAGCTGCTCAAATTCTCCCACAAGATACCTGCTTTCAAACTTACAGAAGAACATGGCAACAATCTGAAAGGCTTCTGGGAACTCGATCCAGGAGCAATACCACGACATTATCTTAGCAAGGAATGATAGCCGAAGTGGAGTGTTTTATCAAGAATCCCTGTTTAACTGTATTAGTTTTAAACTGTTTAGTCAGGGAGCAACATTTGCTAACCGATATAATTATTTTGACAGGTTTTTGGTTTTGTTCTCTGCTGCCAGTTGAATTTGTCGTCTAGAAAACTTAGAGACGGTACTATGTTTTTTATAGATGAAAATGAATGTTAATGTTGTTTAAATGTAATTTTCATAGTAAGTTTATTTTAACTGGATCTTATTATTTTATCAAATGGCTCAAGATGATATGTTTTCCTCGTTGGAGGAACCAAGAGGTAGTGAAGTTTTTTTCTTTGAAACAGTAAAGTCTACGTAAAAAATTAATTGTGGATCCCTTATGTCTAATGATATTAAATTTATTTATTTGTTTTAAAAATGTAATAATTTTTTTATTTTTATATTTTACTTAAAACATTAAACAATAATTTTCTCTCATTGATGGTTGAATTTGAAATAAAAATTATCACGAAGAAGAAGGCATCCAGAGTAAACTTAAAATAAAAAATTGTCCATCTCTGTTTTTCAACTGATCATTGTTGTTGTAATGTTAATCTATCCAAATTTGTTGAAATAGCTTTAGTCCAACCGGATTTGTCGTTGTAGATTTAGTCCAATTAGATTTGTTGTTGTAGTTTTATTCAGCTAGATTTGTTGTGCTAGTTTCACCATTTCTAAAATACAATAAAAAAATTTGAAAATCGATTGTTGTTGTAGTTTTAATACAACCAAATTTATTGTTGGTGTAGTTTTCATATCTAAAAACGACATATCGAATTTGTCGCTATATTTTTTAGATTTAATTTTTTTTAAAGAATACATTGATTAAATGAAGAGAAAAACAATATCACATAAAAGAGAGAAAATGTAGAATCAACACGTAGAAAAACAAAATAAATTGAAATAATAATATAATAATTTTTGTTTGATTTTTAGTTTAAAATAAATTCAACAAAATAAAAAAGTATTATACTTTCCCCCTTAAAACATCACCTCCAATTCAAATCAAAGAAAATTTTAAGCAATCATCTTAGAAACACAACATAATTGCCACAAAATAATACTCTCATGTTACTTCAGAAAAATAATACAAAACACACTTTTTTAATGTTAATTTTAAGTATATTCAAAAATCACTTTTATGAGCTTAATTGATTTAGTTTTGTAAAAATATTTTTTAATTTATAAAATTTGAAAATAATAAAGTTTTATAATTTAAAAATAATAAAGCTTGTTTTATAATTTAGTTTGACAAAATTATTTTTAAAATGTCATTTATTTATGAGTATATTGAAAATTAAAATAATTTTTTTTATGGAAAAAATATATCATTTTCTTTAAGGGTAATGCTAACCTGTCTCTCTAAGACACAAGTTAAATTAAAAATTAAATTAAAAAATATTGTATTAAAAATTATGTATAGACTTTAATAAAAATATAAATTAAATTTTAAATTATTTTTTCCAATACAAATTTATTATAAGTGGTTTTTTAATTTATGCTCTAGAGTTCAAGTTAGCATTAGCTTTCATTAATGTTAAATTTATAATATTTTATAACTTTAAAATATAATTATTTTTATATGAACTATAATAATTTATAAAAAAAATTAAAATCACAAATAAATTTGTAAATAATATTTTTATTTTTTTGTTAACTATATTTATTTTGTGTATTATTTAAAGAAAACCCACCATCAACACTCCCAATTGTTTTATCTATTTTTTGCATGAGCTGTTTCGTGTTTGTGTTGTATTTGACAAAAGTGAAAGAGAAAATGTAATCATCAATTGTGAATATTTATTACTATGATACTTTAATTACTATTATTCATTAATTTAGATACAAAACATAATTGGGCATTTGGTCTAGTGGTATGATTCTCGCTTTGGGTGCGAGAGGTCCGGAGTTCGATTCTCCGAATGCCCCCTTTTGTGGTCTTTTTCAACGTAAGGCTTAGGCGGCAGAGACAAACTCATTGGTTTTTTCTTGTTTGTTTTTTTACCAATGGGAAAACAAGCTCTCTCTCTCTCTCTATATATATATATATATATTCAACACAGTGTTCAACCTAACCTATGCTATTAAATTTCTTTTATTCAAGTTCTTTTCATATATATGACACTAAATCATCAATCTCACCTTGTTATCATTATTAATAATGTTATTCTTATCATATATGATTAATTCACTTATATCATTACTATTAACAATAAATTGATTGATCAACCAAGTTAATAAATTAATAATATATTCACTCACACTAAATTTATAAAATGACAACAACACCTATGATTATATTTTATAGTAATCTTCATTCAAATTTAATTTAAAAAGTACAACAACAACACACATGCTCTTTAAATTTAAGATTATCTAGTATATTCATTCGAACTAATTTATACAATGCTAATCACGGCAAGACACAAATTCTCAGTTTTTATTATATTTAATCTCCATTAAACCATTTTCTCTTAATTATTTATATGTCATAATCACACTAAATTAGCTACTAAAAATAATTAAATTTGAGGTTCTACTTTATTAAAAATAAAGGGTGTTACACTTACCATTTCACTTTTTATTGACTTTTCGCTTTTGAATCGATACTCGTTCAAGTACATTTTCTCAACTAGATCTTTGACTTGAGATTTGGTCATTGATCTGATTGTACCTCTCGCGGAGACATCTAACAACATGTGTGTCTGACTCTTGAGGTCATGGTTATCAAACTCGTGGGTAGACTCGTAAACTCGTATGAGTTCACGGGTCTAGAAAGCATAAACAAGTAGATTGAAGCATATAATCATTTTTTGATAGACTCGAGTAAATTCGGATAGGCTCACACAAACTCCTATAGACTCGCGAGTCTATAACGAGTTTACGAGCCTATAAGTATTTTCTTAAAACCAAAAAAGGCCTAAATTCTCCAAAAAAAAATTATTTTATTTTTTTGTAAAAAAATATTGTTTCTTGTACGAGAATTAAAAAGTCTCTCTCTCTCTCTCTCTCCTAGTCTCTCTTGTTTCAACAAAGTTTCTTCCCCCCTTCATCAACGACATGAGTTTATTTTGTCTCTTGCTTTATTCGTGTTTGTGATCATAAATCAATCATTTGTGTGCAAGTATTTTTTTTTATATGTTTCACTTGGATGCTTCTCATGTATGATATCTTGTGTAAAAGTGATGCGCTATTGTCCAATCAGGTCCAATGATCCCAATGCGCATGTATCAATTTACGTGTGACAACATAGTTTAGAAAATTTATGATTTATGGCAAAAAAATAGTTTATGAAATATATGTTACTTGCTGAAGGGTGGAATTTCTATGGAGACATGACTACATAATTAAAGAGGTTTACAATTCGTGTTGTTGTGAATCGGATACCGTTAAACAAAGTATAAACGGTTTCTTATCAAGAAACACACAAGGGTTAGGGTTAATAAAGAAGAAAGCAACAAGGAACAACAAGGATTGGTTATTAAACCACTGTTCTTTCCTTTCTCTTAGAACAAGATTACAAGTATACAAGAATAACAAAATAACCTCTCTCCCTTGAAATTAGGATTTTATCTTCCTATTTTTCCTTATTCTCAAGATTGAGAAACTAACATCCTATTTATAATAAAATAGCACACTAACCTAATGGGCTTTTTAACAATTACCCATTACAAGCTAACTTAGGGTACAAGCTAACTTAAACAATTGGGCTTACAAGTAAGGCCCAATTCAACATGCTAACAACCTTAGCAATATTGACTAATGCATGTTAGAACAAACTTCGACTACAACACGCATTACTCGCGAACAGACTTCGACAACACTAGAGTTCGATCCAACATCTCACAAATCTCCACCTTAGATCTAACTCTATAACATCAAGAAACTAGCTTTCTTCATGCAGCTTCATTAACTGCATACAGTGGAAAAACTTGCAACTGAGCAATGTCTTGGTGATCATATCAGCAGCATTATGATATGTCGAAACCTTCAGCACTTGGACTTCTCCACGCTCGATTACCCCTCTGATGAAATACAGCCTCACATCAATATGCTTGGTTCGCTCATGATAGGCTTGTGGAGGAAAATCGCCACACATCACACAAGTCTGCAAGACATTGTTCAATACAGGTTTCGATGATGACAAATTACAGCCTTGGATAGATTGGAAATTATAAACTCCAGATCAACCAAACAGATGCACCATATCACCTACCATATCCTTTTATACTTGTCTTAAAACTGTTGTAATAAATATACTATGTATAGATAAAATGCAATCATGACCAGAGGCATGAAAATCCACAAACTGATGAACTTTTGCAGGTTTGCAGGGCATGAGTCGACCATAAGGTCGGCGCATGCATCAGAGCACTTTCCCACTGGTAAGCGCATAAAGGCAATGAGTCGACCATAGGGTCGGCGCATGAAGGAAATATTTTCCAACGGGTCAGCGCATAAAGGCATGAATCGACCATAGGGTCGGCGCATGAAGGAAATAGTTTTCAACGGGTCAGCGCATGCCGACTGTATGGTCGACGCATACTGATGTATTTTCCAGATTTCCAGAAAACACAGGCCATGCGTCGACGCACAGACCTGCTGCGGTCGACCGTTTGCGCGGAAATCCTGTTTTTAAATGATCCCCTCTTCTATTTGAAATACTGTTATGTCTTAAATTGGGTTGGTACTATATATACTTGTTTAACCACTTGTGTCACATTAACATTTGATAATATTTGATTCATGTGTTCAAAAACAAGAAAGAGTGAAATAGGTGTCCAAGATTCATCATCTTCATCTTCAACATCTCACAACATTTCAATTACACACAACCATTTTTGAAGTGCATTGTGAGTGATTCAAGGTGATAAGGTTCGAAGCTTAGATTAGAGAATAAAGTTCGGGTTGAAGCTTGTGACAGGTTCTTTCTTGAATAAAACCGTTGGGGTTTTACCCTCCAAGATTGGTTTGAA